AGGGGGGAGGCACATACCCGGCACGGCCCATTTTGGCGCCGATGTCTCCGCAGGTGACTCCAGGCATGAGCGTACCATCGACCAGACTGCGGAGCTGAACAACGAACCTGCGCAACGTTGTGGCGTTGTGGTTGTGTGTGATCAGCTGCCGACATGTGACCACAAAGCGCTTCGACAGGCCGCGGCTCGCGAAGTATACCAATTAAGCCCGAGGTCCTTGTTGTCAACGATCAGGCGAGCGATGGCCACGGTGTGGGTCGCCGTCTCGCCGGCCATGCCAATCCACCACTTGGAGGCCGTCAGCGTGGGCCTGATGATGATGATGATGATGATGATGAGACAGACCAACAAGAATTGGAAGAGTCAGCCAGCAACCAGCAGGTGCATTGAAGGAATCTCAGGCACGTACGAGTGGAGGATGAACTCCCCGGTGGCCTTGTCGTAGGTGGCCGTGGTTTCGATGCCGCGCAGGAACGACGAGTGACCGAGTTCGGTCATCGCGAAACAGCCCAGCACGCGCGCCGATTCAATGTCGTCCTGGGCACAATAATAAAGAAATAATAAAGAAAAGTACAAGTAAGTAAGTAAGTAAATAAATAATAGTAACAGTAAAATTATAATAGTAAATAAATCACAATTAAGGGGTCGGGAACTCGCAGGCTACTTTCCACTTGAGCCACTGCTCTTTGGTGCCGTGTGTGTAGATGGACTCTCTGGCGAGAGGGAAGTGGGAGCGAGGTCAACAAGAAGCACCAAAGCGAAACGATCAATGTAGTGATAGTACGTAGTACGTACTTGAAGAGCGTGCAATGGACGTAGAGGCGCATGGACAAGGTGCGGTCGTACGATGCGATAGCCTGCAAAACAGAGCGATGGTGGTGGTGGTGATGATGATGGGTCGCGCTCGTATGTGCCAAGCAAGAGAGGGAGAGCAGAAGCGCACCTGCGAGAAGGCGCGTTGCTCCTCGGGCTTGAGCTGCTGGGCGATCTGCAGGGCTCTGCGCACTTGCGCCATGCACCTGTGGGTGGTCGACAAGCAGGGTTTAGCAGTAGTGTGGTGGCACTTGCTCATGCACGTGTCGTACTTTTGGCGGGCCTCAGGCCTGGTCATGTCGTAGTAGTTCTTCACAAAGAGAACAGGGTCCCGCTCAATGATCAACGCCATGCGCTCCTGATTCAAGAAAAGAAAATCACATAATACGCAAAAATATGTTAATAATATTTGATCTATACGCACAAGTACTAATTAGTATGGTTAGTGTGATTTAATATTATTTTTATTTAATCATATCTATATGCATTGATCATCTTGTTGGCATTAGTGAGCACCTTGAGTGCCGTGGCTTGCGGACCGCCGTAGATAACGTGGGTGAGTTCGCGAACATCAAAGGGAGCGTTCTCCCTCTCCCGCGCGATGGTCCTCATCTCCTCATTCATGTCGTTCACCGTCTTTGTCTTCGCAACGAATCTGAAAACTCAGCCAAACAAATAACCTAAATTACAACCGCTTGTGCAAGTGCTTGGCTAATTGATGGCTGGCCGTTGGTCTGCTGTGATGTTGCGGCTGAGCAGCGGCCGCCGCTCCGTGGTTGTACGTCTGCGCTCGTCCTCCTTCTCCTCGTCCAGTTCGCCAGCACGTTTGAAGGACTGGAGCGAGGACGGCGCACACTCTTCGTCGA